CAAAAACAGTGATCTGAAATTTAACCCAAGGAGTGTGAGTGAACTACAGTAAACTCAGTGCAAAATCACAGTTCTTATATGCTAAAATTGTAAATACACAAAAATTGCTCACTTTATGGGTCAATATCTGGTATATATCAGGTGTTCTCATAATGATCTGATCCTCGAGTTAAATTTTTTTTATCTTTATGTAAAAAAATATTCAAGACTTTTATCCTAACTTTGTATTGAATAATCTAGCTTCTACTTCAATTCAAATAAAGCATCTGCATACCGGATTTTTTCTTAATCACAAAGTTACTTTATCATTCATTACAGTATTTGTTTTAGTCCCTGCACCTTCAAACAATTTGATTTTGTTTATTTTCTTTAGTTAAAAATAACTTATAAATACTAAAAACTGTACAAGTGGCATTAAATTTACATTCTTCAAAAAGAAAAAGTACATTTATTTCATAAATGCAATTATATATATCACAAATGCATAAAATTACCAATTAAACCATTAACTCGACTCTAATGTCTGAATCAGTAAAAAGCACTATTTAATCTTCAACACATAACCCTTCTCTCAGAGTTTTCCTTTCATATTAGTTAGATTCTTAAATAGAAAATCCAGCATGGTTTCCCAGGCTTCTTCTTGCGCGCGAACGTGGGGCTTCGGCACGCCACCCCATAAGATCGGACCAGATATGAGCTTGTGGTAGGAAGACAAGCAGAAAGGAGAGTAAGGAGGTTCAATCAGATGTCCTGTTAGCTCGTAGCTGTGAACCTAGAGGGGAAAAGCGTTCATGTATATTTGATCTACATTACGTTTCCATGTGTGAGACTTATGTTGAACAAGTTGTTAAAAAAGACAATGAACGGAAGAGATGGGATATATCTTGTCTTTACTGTCTCCTCTGGATAACTGCTTTTCATTTTGTTATAACTTCTGTAAATCTAATAAGCTAAGAAAAATATTTATAATGTTTTTAATCTTCAAACTATTGGAGTATGTAAAATGTGTTAGTTGTTGAACTAGCTACTGTTAATATTAACATTTGTTAGTAGATATTACGAGCAGACTGTAAAAGTAAGAAGTGTAGAAACATGATGAATTACTGACCTGGCTAATATCAAAATTTTACATTTGGTAATAGATATAGGTTAGTCCATACTACCCACATGCTTGACTTTACATCTTTACAACAGGGTTTCCATGTGAAACTTAATGAAGTGTTATATAGTTTTAAAATTACTAAGCACATCATTAACTCTGTGCCTTCAGGCAGGCTAAAACACCAAAAGACTAAAATTCCAGGATATGCATAAACATTGCTGCATGCACCATGTGCAAACTGCACTTATTCTCAAGCCTTACATGTACTAGTAAAGTTCAGGCTTGTGGGTTAAATCCCAACATAATGCAGCTTAAGTGCTATTAATTGGCCTAGATTCCTGCAAAGGCATCCAGCCACCAAGCCCGCAAGGAAGAAAAGCCATAAACTATAGTTGGACTTAGCTTAGATTTGGACTTGGACTAGTTGGACTTGGTATGATATATGTGTCCTTGGCAAGACAGCTATTTTTGCCATGGTGTGGCATAAGGGCCACCTGGAGGCAATGAGTTAATGGATATACATCAACTATCTGTGATAGGCTTAAAAATCTATGCTTATCATACGACCACAGGGATTAAAAGAACTCCTACCTCATAGTTATTACGTCCAGCCTTTTTGAGCCGTTCAATAGCTTGCTCACAGTACATCACACTCTTCCAGTTGCGGTCAGAGTTACCAACCAAGAAAAGAAAATCAGCGTCTGCTTTCTCTATAGGAATGATGGTCTCAGGATAGTCTGCTGGGTTATGTACAATCTCAAAGCAATCCATGGCACCATTCACAATCTGTGAGTAAATGCACCTTGGTAAGTCTTTATAATTAATTTTTTCATGATCTCTTTTCTATCTGAAGTCAATAATCCTTTATTATTCTCCAGTGACATATGAATTTCTTCCAGTGTAACAAGACACCTCATGCTACTGGCATTAAGATCTAACAATGGCATTTTTATTATAAGTTACTTATATCCTCACATATATATCAATAGTTTAATTCATGTGATAACATATGCTATTACACAAAACCCTAAATTCAATCTATACACACACGAAACCATCAGTACTAAATGGAAACAAACCTCAATCTTTCCGAAGTCAAATTCCAACCCCGGCAAGACAGAATCCCTAAGGTTGAGTGCGGATTGCACATTCGCATTGCATCCGTTGATCCACACACCAGCCTTGACCTCCGGGATGTATGTTGCAAGAGACAGAACAAGGTCTCCCCCTTTGCTCACACCTACAGCACCTACGTGAGGCTTCATAATCTAGAAGAGAGGTTCACTAGAGTTACAAGCGTCTGCAAAAGTTTTTCTCATATATTTTCCGTAAGAATGAAGTTTGCTAGAAGCACCAGCAAACATTATAAACTTTTTTTTTTTTTTTTTACTGACTTGTGACTGCTTATCAGAAATGCCATTATTAGCAGCCACCATAAGTAAGGAACAAAGGTTCTGTCTTAATTTTGTTTCCTTTTTTGTCTGTGGCATAAGTATGATGCATGTTCTAGATGTAAGAGTATCTAATTTCATTGACATTAAGTATATTTTCCTGACCTTGATTATCAAAAAAATAATTCTTTGCAATCAAGGTAAGAGCTATGCTTCCCTATATTGTACTATACATATATCAGAGGTCTATCCACAAAGCATTTCAATTTGCACAAATCCAATATTTGCCCTCTGACAATATCTAAATTCTTGTTTAAAAGGGAAACTTCAAACTAGCCATCCAAATTCACAAAATAAAACTGTGAAATGTATTGTAAAATATGCATGCTATGTTGTTTTTTTGTTTGCTTACAAACAATATTTGTGGAACACAGAACAAAAACAGATAAACTTTGCAAATGGACTCTGGATTTTTTCTAATTGCCAGATTCTTGATATGCACCCTTAAAAAAAGAAAAAAAGAAAACAAGAAAGAAAGAAAAAAAAAGACTTCCACACACATTACATAATGAATTAACCCACTACTGCTGGAAACCCATAATGTTCAATGTACTTTTGTTTTGTGAAATGTGTTTATACATAGTTGTCTCCACAAGTGTTCAGCCTCCTTGGAGTCAATTAGTTGACTATGTGTCCACCTAATTTCCCATTTCTTTGAGTATTTTGGAGATTTTTTTTTTGTTTTAATGCTACTATTACCTGCAGCTTTCTTGAGCTGTTTAATAGCCTGGTCACAGTACATCACACTCTTCCATTTGCAGTGAGTTATATAACTTTTCTATCATCCTACATTTCACTTAATTAATGCTTCATAGATATTAAATATTTTCTCAAAGAAGAGGTAATTATTCCTTTTTTCCCCCCCTTCAAGATATCCTATCATAAAAGAATAATCATTATTTACACATCAGTAAGAGTTGTGCAGAGAGAGATGTCATACCTTGGATATCAAATTCCATCTGACTGCAAGTGATTCTTTATGATATTCATGAACTCTTTACCCAGTGTCACCAGAGACAGCATGTGTGTTCATGCCATGACCATTGTGATTTTGTTTATTAAACGTATTTACACATACTCACGGAAGGCTCCACAAGTGCACAGTAACCCCAGGAGTCAGATACTACTTCTCCTATCTCATCTATTTAACATTTTCCATGATATTTTAAAAACATCATATTATATTTCTTCATAGCTATTAGTATTGCAATGGTATTACAATGCTCATAATGCCAATGACAATAGTAACAGTATCAATATCAAAAGCATTAGGGAAGAAGAAAGAAGAAAGAAGAGGAAGAGGAAGAGGAAGAGGAAGAAGAGGAAGAGGAAGAGGAAGAGGAAGAGGAAGAGGAAGAGGAAGAGGAAGAGGAAGAGGAAGAGGAAGAGGAAGAGGAAGAGGAAGAGGAAGAGGAAGAGGAAGAAGAAGAAGAAGAAGAAGAAGAAGAAGAAGAAGAAGAAGAAGAAGAAGAAGAAGAAGAAGAAGAAGAAGAAGAAGAAGAAGAAGAAGAAGAAACTTCAAGGATAAGGGAAATCAGGTGAGGTCATATATGCCTACTTATTGACTCCTTGGTGACTGAGCACTTGTGGAGCCATCTATGGGTTAAGAGTCTTTTACAACTATGACTGTTTGTTGCATGAGTTCATATCATCCATGTTTCTAATCAGTTTCTCTGTATTCTAAAACAGAGAGAAAAAAGTAACATATACTTTCTATAAATAATCTGTTTAGCTTTGTGTAATATCTAAACCAGTGGTTCTCAATCTTTTCTCAATGATGGCACCCTGAATTTATATAATACTTTCTGTGGCACCCCTTTTTCACCATCACCCCTCCTCACATGAATTAACTTCTGATATAAAATTGTACCTGTTTGAATTACTTTAATTAATGATTTAAAATTATTATCCGTACTCAAACCAAAATTAACATAAATTAACAAAAATTTGGTTACGCAAGGAGTACTATTACATTCTATTGACATTATTATTATTATTATTATTATTACTATTATTATTATTATTATGCTATCAGTAGTAGTAGTAGTAGTAGTAGTAGTAGTAGTAGTAGTAGTACAAGTGTACAAAAGGAAATATCTACCTATATTTTAGTAAAATATTAGAGCAAGTAACTTCCTACACCGACATTTAATTATAGGCAGACTGCTACAAACTGTTTTACAAATGTACCTTGAAACGATCTAGCCAAGACAAAATTCATGGCAATCTTGTGGCACCCCTAGGCGCTGTCCGTGGCACCCCAGGGTGCCGCGGCACCCAGTTTGAGAACCACTGATCTAAACTATTACTGTCATAATCTTGCTAATATAGTCTGCTAAACGTGAACATAAATATATATGTTTTTTTCTGCTTTTCTTGAAGAGCTTACACTTGAAAGCACATTACACTGCAAATAAAGCAGA